TTTTATTTTTATCGAATATTTTTTATGGTAAAGATGGTTATAATATTAAACAGATGTTGATGCAATTGCAACTATATTTATTATACTTGATTGATGAATATACTCATAAATAACTAATTAAGTGATCATTTTATAAACAGAATTTTGTACCTTTAATTTTTTACACTTGGTAATATGGCACTAATATCGTGTATATTTTTCGTATTTTTTCTAATGTTCTCAAATAAGAATGATCAAATTATTGCTGAAATAAATATAGAAAAATTCAAACTAAATGCTAAACAATCTAATGAATATCATAGTACTATAACATCTTTGGCAATGCTAGATTATTTTTTGTCATAGTCTACAGACACTTCTTTTTAGACATGCATCTTATACTAACTCAAAAATTAATAATTGTTCGTTTGTTGTTTTGTTGTTTTCAGCATATGTACAATGTTAAAGATTGTAGTCATTACCTAAAAAGTAAAATTAGATTGATATCAGGTTTTTAATTAAGTATTTATAGGTATAATTTGATGTAAATCTGTTGCGTTAACAAAAGATTTTATTTTAATGATTATAAATCAAAAAAATAACAATTTCAAGTCAACTCAACGGTAAAATTTAAAACAACGATACAAAAGCTACACTATGCTAAAAATTTGAATACGATTCTGCTGATAAACAAATTTTATAACAGAAAAAATATTTCAAGTGAATTAATTCACATTTTTTTGTGCACGTTAAATTTTTTGATTAAAATGTACTCGGCTAATTTATTTGATCCTGTGTACAATGTACTTTCCACATTTATTAATTTTTAAATAAACTGATTGGTAATACAAAAAGAAAGTTTAAATATTAAAAATATAATTTAATGATTAAATAACTAATGTATAAATAAATATTTCTTTTTTCTTAAGTAAACTTAAAAAAATCATGCGTGAGCTGCATAGCTGCCCCATAGTTACATACAGCCTATACATCAATACTGATTAGTGATTACCATTACTGAAAACTGACGTACAGTCAGTAAAAATCTGCAAATACTAAATAGTATTATAGATCCAGTTGGTAATATTAAATAAATAAACTTGAAACATATAATAACTAATTAATTTGAACTATGGAAATTTATAACAAAATTAATCTTGGATTTACACTAAATGTTTTGTTTTAAATTCCAGTAAGTACCTAAAATTTATCTACATTTAATATTTAATACGATAAAATTATTTTTAAGCTTAATCGTTAAAATTAAAAATTGTATGCGTTTTCAACTTAAAAAAGTTATTACTTGTTAGTATTTTAAGTTTAGAGTAGTGAAGTATGATTTAAGTATTTTCCCATTATTTTACTGTGATTTGACGGGGTATCCCGGAGCCACTCGGCACTCCACTCAGACTCAGCTAATCAAAACTTATCTATCACCACTAGTGTGTGTTTGTTCATGGATTTTGTCAATATAGGTATGACGTTTGTCGTTTATATTTATGAATGCTCAAATTAACTAAAATTAACTAAAATTAATTAAATATAGTAAAATACTATAAAAACCTTTACCTTTATTTAATAGGTAGGTATAAAGTATTTCATTGTCATGTCACATGTGTAATCATCTGCCTAGAGTCAGATGAATTCCCGAAAAATGGACTTAGCCGGCTAGTTGATGATACTTTTATAAGTTCACATTCTTTATTTGTGATGTATTATTCTTTTTAAAACCAAAATTTAAATAGGAAATAATTCATCATTTTTAATGAAAATATCCCTGTATGAATATCTCTTCATAATTGATTCTAGGAAATGTATATTGTGTCTATATTTATAGGTACCTATAGAATATTTCGGGAGTAATAGCAAATTGAATTCTTATTGATGTTAGCTCGTGATATGGGTTTCAATATTTGTATATTAAAATATTATTTAAACTAAATGTTTCATATTTACTGTTTATAGTCCCAACGTGAGTAAAAAACTAACTGTAACTAACTGTTTAGTTTAATTTCAAACTTCATAAACATTTAAAAAGTTGAATTTTATACGTTTTGGGTTTACTATTTTACTTGCCCACACGTCCAACACGGGTAATGGTATATTTTGGAATAATTTACTGAAATAGTTCGTTATAGTATAGTTTATGATTGTTGCCTTTATTTTAACATGGGCAATAGTACGTGTTGCTGTAACACTGGTAAAAGTACGTTTTGATTATATAAATATCATTTTTATGTGTGAAAAAAATAAACAAGGTTCGTTTTGGATTAAACGGTCATTTTGAATACCGGATTTGACCAAAAAATAGTACTTTTGATCTCTTTAGACGGCACCGATCGATTTATCATGTCCCATAAGAATTGATATATAACTCGATTTTGTTAATTTAGGGAATAGTACGTTTTGGATTTCCACCCCTTAATTTCATAATAACATTTTTATTATATTTTGTAGATCCTCATGTCATAATTATCTAAACATAATTATATTTTCAAAATATCAAGGCTAATTTGTAAGCATTTGAAATTTTCTAATTCTAATTTTTAACTATTTAATTATAGGTGGTAACTCAGTTAAGGCTTAAAAATGTAATATAAAATTTCTCAGAAATATTTTTAAGTCGTTCTTGCAGAAACTGAAATCAAAAATGTACGAGCACAATATTTGTATTATTTTTTTTCTGTTGCGTTTTGCACATCGATCAAGCAACACGTATGTTTCGCTTTCGCAGTTCGCAAAATAGGTGCTATCTAAGTTATTAACATTTTTGTTAATGTTTACAATGCAAACCATGGCTGGTCTGACGGATGGTAAGTTTTTATAAACAAATATATTTTAAGTGGGTCACACTCAAACTGATCGAATTGCACAATGTGTGAAAATATGGACGTCAGTACAATTCCGCCGCAAAACATATCAGTTAATGCTAGTATTTGGACACAAATACATAGTGACCACGTGACCTTGAAAGCTCACCCAAAAAACCAATCAAAGTGCAGACGAAAGAAGTAGCGAAAACTTCTGTAAAAATCCACAAACCACCTCCAATAATAGTATGTGGTGTAAATGATTTTAAACAATTAATGATTAATTTAAAACTTGAAGAAGCCGAGGGACACGAGCAATAAATTAAAACTTTGGCCAATGGTAAAATTTAGATACTAACAGGCGACGAACTATAAAAGTATTAGAAGAGCAAAAAGTTGTGTACCACAGGTACCAACTTGAAATAGAAAAAAAGTTTCAGGCGGTAATTCGTGGATTACACCCTGAAACTTACCCCTGTGGTATTAGAAGTGAATTATCTGAATTAGGACATCTTGTATTTAATGTTACAAACATTCAAATTAAGAAAAAAGTCGATTCTAACAACAAGTTTAGTGATCAAACTATTTTAAGGCTTCCATTATTCTTCGTGGATTTGGAGCCACAAACAAACTACTAAGACATTTATGATATTAAAAAATTGTGCTATCATATAATAAAAGTAGAATCTCCAAGGAAAAAAAAGAAGTGCCACAATGTAAAAATTGTCAACTATTTGGTCACACTCAAAACTATTGTTTCAAAACACCAAAGTGTGTAAGATGTAGTGAAGGTTACACTTCACTAAATTGCCCTAAATCTAAGGAATCAAAGGCGAAATATGCAAACTGTGGTGAAGGACACACCTCAAATTGGAAAGGATGCATTGCATATAAAAATGCAATAGAAAAAGTTCACCCAAAAAAAACTACAGCAGTACAAAGAATACACAAAAGCCTGCGAATCCAGTCACTCGAGAAATTTCTTTTGCACAGATGGCTAGTTCTTCGAACGAAAATCAAAAGGATCCACTGACTCAAACTTATACTCAACAAAATAAAAATGTACCGTGGCTATCTGACGTCACTATCATCTTAACAAAATTAAATGAGAGATTGGACAGGCTTGAAATAAGCCTGCAATTATAAGACCGATGCGGATTTAAGTCATTCAACTGTGGGGTTGTGCCAGTAAGTCTAATATCGATGTAATACAAAGCTGTCAAAACATCGCTCTTCGGACCATCACTTCAGCCTACCGGTTCGAAAGAAACAACGCAATTCACCGTGATACAATGCTGGCATTTTGCCTACAGTAGTAGACGAAATCCAAAGGTTTGCTCGCAAACACGAGACGAGGCTAGATCATCATGTCAATCCATTGACCATCCAATTATTAGATAGCTCCAAGGACAACATACGTCTTAAGAGTTTGAAACCATACGACTTAGTTTAAGATTTTAGATTAAGGCAGGAGCCACTTCATTGGGAGTGATTCCATCAACGTGTAAAATATATATAATTTATATCTAGTATGTAAAATATAAATAATTGTTAAACATATTTATAAAGACCTTGGGTCGTTTAAATAATATTTAAAAAAAATTTTTTCTCAAATTGGCCGTCTTCTTCATACAGAATTTTTTTTATCGGACTCAATGATTTATAAAAGAAGAATATGTTTCAATTTGTGCTAAATTAAGTGTCATACATAATATACAGTTTTCTACTCAATAATAATAGGTACATTGAAAACCAACCTATAGGTATTATGCTTTATGCAGGTCTCATATATGTGCATTGTGCAAGATTCAGTTTTTTACCATATAATATTAGTGAATAAAATTTGTACTACATAGTTGAAAAAAAATTATAAATTAAATACTACTTACATATTATATTTTCTCTTTAGAAATTTTCTTGGATTTGTTCCAGTCAAGATAACTACATGGCTTCTATATTATTATAAATAACGAAAAGTACATTACAACCTGATTATTATAGTACTATGTTGCTGTAACAGTTAGGTATAACTGCAGTATACAGCATGTAGATAACTGTACCTTCTAATTTTAGTGAGTATTTGAATAATTTGTCTAAACCTGTAGATTATAAAATATTGAGTGAACCTGCAGGTAAGTAATTAAAAAAATGCATTATAATAATTTATTAGTTGTGATTTTAAATTTCAAATTATTTTACAGTATTAGCGGTTTATACCTGTCAGCGCGTGGAGTTTCATGTTCAGTATACATTTAAAGCTGAAAACATGTGGAATAATATAATTATTATTACAGTGGTAAGTGTTTCGATTATTATAAACTATTAACTTTATTAGCAACAATATGTATAACATTTTTTTTTTTTTATTAATTTTTATAAAAGAAAATATCAATATAATATAAAAAATTAATAACAGATATGATTAAAAGCCGATAATAGGTACGCGTATGTATTATTCTATCGAAATTGGGCATTCAGTCTTTCGTTCTAAATCGTATTAAATATTTCTAATAACTAATAAGTAATAAGTATCCAAATGGAGATTTAAATATATACAAAATATTTAAAAATATTTACCTAGGTTACTTGTCTACAAGAACTCATCCTCAGGACCGCAATTATTTGTGTATTGGAGAGTTTAGGTGTATACATAGGTATAATATAAACCTTTTTATTTGATGAATAAGTTTAAATATTTTATTATCCAGTGGATGACTGGAAAGACAAAGTCAACAGACACGTTGTATCCATAGAATTCATCATAAAACTATATTTGAAGTATGGTTACAGAGATAGGTATAGATACGTATAATGTCGTCGAACAACGTCGGCTGATTATGTACCTGTTATAGGTACCCGCACCGAATGCCAATGCCGTATATCATAATATTATCATCGACACATTATATTATTATATGGTGCGAGTTTCATCATATCAAAACCACCATTGCCGCTACCGTAATAATTAGTTCTAAGACTATTATTACTATTATTATTTCATACATATATACTTTAAAATATTATGCACTTGCTCTCTGGCCCCGGCCGCAATCTATAATTTCCCTTTCCACTATAATGCTTAATGCATTCTGTATCGTCTGTTTTTCCTTCCGCCCGACTGTTGCTGCAGTAACGCTCTCTCTCACCCTCTCTCTCTTTCTGTTTTCTCTCTTGTGGTTTCGCCGTCGAAACAGGCGCATTCTGGAAAGTGTTTCCGTTGTTTTTTTCATCTCGTTTATACTGTTCACGCTTGTCATTCTTCCAGGCGCCACCTAACATTTTCGCTGCCGAGTTGTACAGTCTCGCGAACATGGAGTAGAACGCCGTCTTTTACTGCCGTGGCGTGCGGCGGCGCTGGCGGGCCATTTCGAGAGGTAATATAACATTATAAATCATAAAATAATATAAAAACATATTTCAACGCATATCAAATGGCCAGTACATCCCGAATCTGTCTTATAGAAATATTATATACGCGAGGCTTAAATAAGTTTGTGTCACAAAAATGGTGGAGATATACCGTACGATTCTGATTCTTACTACGTCAATGTCTCACTCCAATTATTTTCTTTACACAAGTTTCTGATCAGCCCCTACATCGTAAGGGCTGTTCGTTTTTTCTCCATCTTTTTACTTCATACCCTTCTCTAGATGTCTTATACATGATTATTTATTATTATTATTTATTTATTTTTAACCGTCTATGAGATGACTATTCGGTAGGTACCTATCTATAATAAGTTATAACAGTTTGTTTGAATTCCACCTTTATTTAACCAACGAGTATTTCTGTAGTAGAAGTTAAGTGTCTTAAGTTATAATTATTATGATGATGATGATCTTGACATAAATGAGAAAATAGTGTTTATATATCGACATTCAGCCATCGTGTATGACTCTATCCATCCCGTTTTTAAAGTTAAAACAATAGTTTTATTTTAAATTTGCAATAGTGCTTAGATTTTTGGAGTTGTACACCTGTCGAATTCTAGCCCAGAGAATAATTCAAATTTGAGTAGCATAGGTAATAAAATATATACCTACGTATATTAAGTACGCACATTGAAATTATTTTTCTTTATTCAACCACCAACATTTATTATTATGACTATTCCCTAATTTGAGTAATTTCCCTTCACCTTTCACTTAAGTATAAGGTAGAAACCCACGAGGCTCCAATTCACCAAGGTCTCGTGGTTTGTTATTTTGCCTGTTTCGACGGGTCGGCCACAAGACTTGCGTGCATGAAGGTAACGTAGTGGCTCAAGGAGTGTAGGAGATTGAATAGTACCTACTAATAGAATTACTAGAAGCTTGGAGGTAATAGTAGAAAAATCAGAGGCTTTGAAACCTAGTTAGATTGACGAGTACAAGGTACGTACATGTGTATCGTGTATGGAAATATAGATGACAAGAAATTAAGCAAGACGCAAGAGTGAGTATGATACGTAACTACTTACAATATAAATATGTTCAAGCTAATTTATAGTTCTTAATTTATAATTTTAGCTTAGTACAATCCTAACTCATGTGTAGTATTTTAATTTTTATATCTTCTATAATCAGTGGAGTGATAAATACCTATATATATGTTTTACAGCATTTTTTTGTACATATATAAATAGTGAACAACTGATGGAGTTAAACTATTTTACTATATTCTTTGTGCACTTGCAGCGCAGTCTAGAAACTAAAAAGTTTGGAAACTCGAGTTTGAAAAGAGATTAAAATAAATATGATGACCTGCGACCATTAAAGATTAATTTAGTTTTGGGGGTATGATGGTATATAAATGCTATACCGACTGTATTTGAGGTGTTTATTAGAAACTATATCCTACGCAGGTGCGTGTGTGCTTGCTTTTACCTATTCTAAATTATCATTAGTGTGTGCGCTTCAAGAGAGGCGGGATAATCTGCGTGTTTACTTCATGCTCCCGCCTTCCACGCGCACATAATATAGAAATTCAGTCATGCCACTGAACAGGTGTTATAACATTTTACACCAAATTGTGTAATTGTTTATTATTGTTTCAATAGACTTAATGATTCAATAAGAAATTGTAATAGAAGTTTAAATTCGTTATTACATACTTGAAATAAAATGTACCGATTTTGTTGTTGTACTCATATGTTGGAGTGTAGAAAATTGATAAATAATTGGTAGTACCTATTTGGAATGTGGTGAATTGGTTTTCTATTGAAGTTTCATCAGTATAGGTCCAATTAATTAATTGTCAAAACATCCGAAAATAGAAATTGTTTATCCAATTAATTTAGTATTGATGATTGCAGGGTAATTAAATATATACCGTATGATTTTCAATTGTTGTTATTTTTTTCGTTATCTTTACATAATTTAAACTACAGTAGTTTGATCAACTGATTGTCCATTACAAATATAGTGCTTACTGACATTCTATAGAAAATACAACATACTGTGTATAAATATTAAACTTATATTATAATATAATCAAACAATAAGAAATACCCTTGTTTTTTTCAGTTTCAATACTGCATACTGTATACACTATACATGTATCGGCGCGAAATATCAAGAGACAAACTATAACTTAGTATGGTGTAGAGCGTATCACCACGTTTTTTGAAAATTAACAAGCTATTGAAATGAATCTTGAAACCGTGTTGTCTACACCGAACCGACCATCTTGCCTCAACGTCCTCAAACCAGCTAAACCTTCCAACAACTTACAAAAAAAAATCAAATATGTTCAATTTTGTTAGTCTACCAAAATGTTGTATGTCTAGAAGATTTAACTTACAGCGTGTTTGATACTGCCAGAGTTCACTATAGGTATTATTGGTCCACAAATAATTTGTCACGAAAACTTTGGGACTTTTATAGGAAAATACATTATAGTACCACATAACAAGATAACGGCTTAGTCAAAACTCGGCCGAAAGGACCAGTAACGTTGCTCAAAACCTTATATACTGTAAAATCAAAGTACATATAGTTATGATAGACTTCAAGACCAAATATCCTGTTAACTTGTGGAAGGATCACGGGTTCTATACCGATGATTATATTAAACTAATCAATAGCCATTGGTTAAAATTCATGCCGCCAAATCCAACGTCGCACTACATTCTTGGACTTCTATACACAATCATTATGGTATTTGGATGCACCGGAAACTCTCTGGTGATTTTCATGTACTTTAAGTAAGTTTATATTTTCGATATTACTGCAATACTATTATAATTAAGTGGGGTAAGAATATTATTAATTGATGTCACATATATAACCCATGTATACTTTAATTTGCACGATACTTGAGTTGTAAAAACTGTATTTTATTTTCACCAGAAGAAACTTGTGAATTATTATGGATAATATTGGTCTGTGCTTATTTGAATACACATTTTCCACAGAAATTTAACTGTTGAAATTGATTACGAATATTCCAATATACTATAGACAAAAATCAAATAATTTAATTAATTTATATAATTTCACTGATTAATGAATAAATTTCAAATAGGAACCCAACAAAAAATAAACAGATGTACCCAATAATGTAATTATATTTTGGTATTTGACTACGTAGTTAGTAGTTATACATTACAATTTATGTCTAGGTAATAAGAAGTATTGATTATTTCATTAATATTTTGTATAGGTATATTGTATTAAAATATTAATTAATAGTACGATTACTCATACTAAAAAATAAAATAAAATATATTCAATGATTCCTACCGCATGCAAAGTAAATGCACTATCAAATATAAATAATTGTGATTTAATGGGAATCAAATTTTTTTTCAGATGTAAATCTTTACAAACGCCTGCGAACATGTTAATAATTAACTTAGCTGTCAGCGATTTTATTATGTTAGCGAAAGCCTCGGTATTCATCTACAACAGTTATTACCTGGGCCCTGCGCTAGGAAAATTGGGTATGACATTTTACATTTACAACGATTTGATGCTACTTTAATAATAATTTGTATATTATTTATCAACTTAGGATGTCAAGTATGTGGATTTCTTGGTGGCTTGACTGGAACCGTGTCCATCATGACGTTGGCAGCCATATCCTTGGACCGGTATTACGTTATAGTGTGCCCACTGAAAGCAGCTGTGAAAACCACAAAACAAAGGGCCAGGATATGGATAGGATTGATATGGATTTACGGGTTTTCATTCTCTATCGTACCAGTACTAGATTTGGGTTATAGTCGGTACGTGTCGGAAGGATATCTGACAAGTTGCAGCTTCGACTATTTGTCGGACGACGACCAAGACAAGAAGTTTATCCTGGTGTTCTTTACGGCGGCGTGGTGCATACCGTTCACAATAATACTGTACTGTTACGTGAATATACTGATGGCGGTGTGGATGACCAGCGAAATAGTCAACAGCAGGGTTGGTCAACAAGAGGAGAAGAGGAAAACGGATATACGACTGGGGTACATGGTGATTGGGGCTCTGGCGCTGTGGTTTGTGTCGTGGACGCCATACGCCGTGGTGGCGCTGTTAGGTGTATTCGACTTGAAGGAGTACATCTCACCGTTGAGCTCAATGATCCCGGCGTTGTTTTGTAAAGCTGCAAGCTGCACGGACCCGTGGTTTTATGCCATCACTCACCCGAGATTTAAAAAGGAACTGATGAAGCTTCTGACGAAGGGTAAGACCAGAAAGCTGGTCCGGAATTATGGCATGAAGAAGGGATGGGTTGGGTCACATTTGAACAAAAACGGTAGTGTTAGCTTCGAGAACCGTTTAAAAACCGAATTCGAGGAAGCAAATAAAACGATCTTCATGCTCGAATCCGATGACAATAACGTACACTGTCAGGGATCTACTTCCGGTTATAAGACTGAATCAACCAAGGATCCGGAAACCAAATTCCCTGCAAGTGCCAACCAAGAGAGTCTCAAGTATATGCTACCTAACTGACAAATATATAATAGCAACTGCCCAGGGTTATGCTGCATAAATAAATCATTGAGAAGAGGTATTGGAAATTTTACAAGCGGATCTAAGCCAAAATAGCAAAAGTAAATGTAACAAAGTAAAAAGTGCGAAATAAAAGTTTCCTATTCAATACACGTTATAATTATTTACATTAATAGCAGAAGAGGTGATGTATTATGACAATTATTATAATAATAATTATTAACATCATTTTAATATTTTAATAATGCAGTTTGTACAATTTAAATATTAAAAGTTTTATATTTTAATAAATATTACATTAGGTATTTATAGAATTGTATAACACATGTTTGTATATTGAAAGCTAAGTTATGCCTTTAAGAAAATGTATTTTATCATTTGAGTTATAATTATCATATAATATTCTAATTATCTTTCACGCAATCATTACGCTTTTTTGTGGCTGCTCATGAGCAAAACATTTTTTTTTGTTTCCTCCAAATTGTATGCACATGCTTAAGGTATTGCCGTATGGGTTTATCATCCATCATTACTTTTATTAAAACTATTATTTATACCCATCCATAGACCATGATATAATATTATTATACTCCAATATTCTTAATGAACTATTTCCAAATTGTGAACACAGTATTATCAACTATGTACTTCACCTTTTCCATTTTTCTAACCACTATAAATCATATTTATTTTGGATTTCACGATTATTAGTTCCACATTTTAAATAACCATCTAACCCCGTGTAGATCTCACTGCACTCTAAACCAGCGGTTTTCAATATTTTTGAGGCTGGGACCTCCTATAATATTTCCAACATTTTTGGAGACTTTTTTATTAGGATAGCATTAAATGATGGCGTCAAGCACTCAGTTTTTGAATCACTGCCCTAAACCATGCTTCAAGTTATCTTTTTTTTCTGATGAATAAATCGTGTTTTGTTCTAAATGTATCTATTATTCTATTCAATTATATATTAAGGATATTAAAACAAAGTCGACTTTATTTTTCATTTTAATATGTGTTGTAGAAAAATATTATTCCACTTGTTTCAATTATTTTTTGGAACTTGAGTACAATATCTATTGTTAAATTGTTATGATTTTTATATTCTACCTGAAAACCATAAATGTAGAAAAGTAGGCTCATCACAAAAGCAAAAGTGATAAGTACACAGTTCTACTAATTGACCGTTACTTAAATTTTTAAAAATTAGCTGTAATTAAAAGACAACAGATGGTAGGTACATACAAAATAAAAATCTGTCAACCTACAAAAAATAGATAACACCGTGATTTAAATATTTTTCAATGTGTATATAATTTTGAGTGTTTATCGAACCAAATTTCTATTAAAACAAACTTTATAATGCAGTAATGTCGTTAAGTGCATGTTCATTTTTTATATCATATTTTAAATAATATTCTAATATCGAAAACGAGACAACAATAAGCAACATTTAAAATATTTAAATCTTTAAAATCCATGTCCCCCGAAGTATTGATAAAATCTAACAAATCAACATAGCAGCATAATAATATATGCATAGGTAATGAGTATATATCATTATTAACCAGATCGTTTGAAAAAAATATGTACACAATTTCCCAAGCATATATAACATCAATAAATCAAAAAATGCAAATAAAATGGTCATTTAGTCATTGACGTGAAAATTAAATAGATAATATGGACAGTTAAATATTATGGCACAGATTATTCCAGCGCGGCCCAAAAACCACAGAATAATCGTCACGTTCAAGTGGTGACTAAAATAAAATCATACATAAAAATAATTGAGCAATGACATAAGGACATTAATATAGGCATATAGCAGAGTGCAGAGGCCCGAGTTTGTTGAGCGAACCGGTCAAGCGGTGATCGATGGGAGGGGACGAGGGGTGTAGTCGTTTCAGTCTGTAGCCTCGTGCTAAATTATAACGAATGTCACACAAGATATAATTTTAGTTCAACACTATTTAGTTACAATAGTTATATAATAGCCAATGATTAACAGCACCATTAAAGTTTAATAAAATAAACACAATTTTATATCAATAATAAAATTCCTGCAACTGCTGTTATATCTATGTAATTTATAATATTATTCATACTTTAACGGATATATTTTGAAGTTCAGTAGAGAATAAAAAATAAAATGTAGGTGAGATATATAGTCTATCAAATGTAGTTTATGATTTATATTATACATATTGACTAAAAATTTTTTAAGTTTTATGTTGAATAGTTTTCGATCTATTCTATGTGTTTATTGGTACAATCAGTAGAATAGAATATTATATAAAAATATATAATATATCAAATTTACCAATGTGATTTAGAAAAATAATAATTTTAAATACCTTGTTCGAAACGCTCATAAGTTTTAAGTTAAAATAGAGGTACCCAAGTAGAAAAATATGTTTGCAATTGAGGGTGGCTCGCACTTGATTCGTATTTGCTCAAGAAAATCGAATATTTTTTAAATGGTTGCCAGTGATTATATAAATTTAACAAAATAAACCAAACATTGGTATAGACTAGCTGACCCACCATATGCGACATGCGTTGCTATATCTACAATTTTTTTTTAAATAAAAAATATAATATTAAGTAAATGTGTTATTGAAAAAGTAATACTCGTATGTCTATAGATTATATTTAGATGCAAAAACTTAACCTATTACCTACTCACCAATTTTGACAAAAGTTTCAGATTATTCTTAGAAATAAAAGAAAAATTTAGAAACTGGTTTTAACTGCGTTCAAACATATCCCAGGTGCATTTGCAATCTGCCACATGTGGATTATCTGTTTGCTTCTCCGTTAAATTTGTTTACAAGCTGAGGTACACCGATGCAGATTTCCCCTTGAATGTAGTACATTAAAACAAGATACGCCGATATGGCATATTGGAGTCATTTATGTTTGTTCATTTTTCTCGATGAAGTCTGGTTATACAGCAACTATTTATATACATATATATATACATTGTTATGTGCTGTACTGCTATAATTTAACTAATATCGTAAAATAAAATAGATGCATAATTAATGGTTTTTTTCAGTAATGCAACATACTTGTTTAAAAAAACTTCCATCAAACGATTCATTAAAGTCACCAGTACCTATGAAAAGTAAATACAAGTCTCAACTCGAAAGGGTAGAATATACTAGATGAATAATGGTTCGGTTTTCCCTTTATCCGAGATTAGACTTCGTTATTCAGGAGTAGTTGTTGCCTGTTGGATGTTGGTCACTGGTAATTTATTGGTATCATAAATTAATAAATTAAATCGGGTGTTGTCAATATCAGTATTCACTATTCTGCAGTACTAATGATTGCCATAATATAATAGACCAATCAACTAGATGAATTTTGGACGGCGCTTTGTATAGGCAATTTAAGGCCATAATTATATAATAATAATAAAACCTATTAATATTCAATATAATATATTATATTATTATCTAATATCTATTAATTATACATTCAGTATTAAAAAAATAACTATATGATTAACCACTTATTCTCTATTAATAAATATTATAATAATTATTATGAAGATGTCAATAGTTAAAGTCATAAGCACATTTCAATAAATGATAAATGTACATTTATTTCGAATTTTTAATAACTACCTATACAAATACCAATGACGGTTTATCAATTTTAAGTCTCAATAATCATTTGTTATATTTCAAATCTATGTTTCACCATAGAAAATGGAGCAGAGATCTCCCTAACTTGAAAAAAAAAAAAAATAAGTCAATAGTGTCAGAAGTGTCACTACTGGGTGGCTTCTTCCAACAACCCATTCATGTCTTTGTAAATTAGCCCATATTCTTGTTGTGTCTCTGGGTACAGATGGTAAATTTCTTATAAAAAAAAAAAGTTTCACCATAGATCCCCTGTTAGATAGCACTGTAGGTTGGAGCCAATAATTAAGTAGTACCTAATCTACTTTATAGTGGATACCTGTCGGCTGTTTATGTGCATTTTTAGAAGGACGACTGAATATATTGTACAGTCAGGGCCATATTTAGGGGGGAGCAATGGGGATATTTTCACTGGGCGGCCCAAATATTGATCCTATATAGGGGGCGGCCGGGCCCCCGCGGTAACTCGGTGTAGTATATTGCATCAATAAATATTTTTTTTTTGGAAAAAATTTGTACTATGACTCGACCCTTGTTAACTTAACAGTGCAACGTTAACGGATAAGTGCTAGAGATAATGCCTAGCATAAAATATAATTAATATTATTTTAACATAACCACGATGTGTAGGTAAACAACCATGACTTAACTACTAACTAAAAAAATGTTGTTAATTCTAATGTAACATGGTCAGGGGAACCTTGTTACAATAATAGTTATCCAGAGAAGGTTTTCTATTCCTTATGGATAAGTTTTCTGTAGCTGGGGGTTAGAGCTGTGTGCCTGTGTATGAGGTATTATTTTACTAATACTTATCAGAGAAGTTTGGTTTAAAGTTCTTTATTAATTATAATATTAAAATAATACTTTACTAAACATGTAGATTTCAGATGGCTGTTGGTAGATGAGTTTGTTCCTGTTGATGAATGTTTTCGAACTGCCGTCGTGTGTCATTTTAATTACTATAATAATGTGCACGGGTATAAAAGTATTGAGTGTGTATATTTTGTATTGTACATTGGGCAATTCTATAGTATGTGTGTTTTGTGTATAATTTATATGTATAGGATGTAACTAATGTTACACTAACATTTTATAGGTATTTGATATTAGAACATTTTTATTTATTTATTGTTATACGTAATGTCTTTGTATGAAAATTATCTACATTACATTATAATATAATGTAAAATTCAAATTTTAATATTTTTAATTACCAATCCTTTTTTGAGGTTCTGGGGGGGGGGGGGCAGCACCTCTGGACCCCATCCGTAAATACCCACTGATAAACAGATAAAACATGTCTTCTTTAATACCAATTATCTCTACTGTTATGTTGTATAGTATGTTAAGAATTCATTTTCGGGAGGTAGTAATGGACATAAGCAAAGTAAGATCAGGATAATGTTTTGTTAACAGCAATGAGGTTTGATTCTTAATTTATTTAATATGATTTACTTTAGTTACATACTCATACAAAGATTGGTTTTAAAAAAGTAGTATGTTTACAGAAGTAATTTGTACAGTATAAGTTTTATTAGTCTTAACATTTAAAAAATTTTTTTTTATAATCAAACATTAATGTAAAACACAATTGGACAATGATCACTACCTAGTACTTCATTTCGTATAGTACTATCACATACATTATCCATGAATCTTTTTGATGAAATAAAATAATCCAGTCTCCTAAAAAAAAAAGTTTATTTATTAAATTTTGTTGTATTCTGTAAATGTTTCAATTACACATAATATGGTAATACAAAATGTAGATTAGAGCCAAATTAGTTCTAATAAAACAATCTTACAGTTTTTAATATAAATTAATCACACAAAATAATAAAAATTAAATATAACAAAAATAAATAATCAAGTTTTTGAATATCAATAAAGTAAAAAGCAACTTATACTTAATAAGAACAAGATTCAATATTTTTAAGTCATTATTTTTTGTTACTTACAAACAACCAATTTTTAAAACCGTTTTAAAGGACAAATAATATTTAATAATATTGAATTTTTAATTTGTATGTTTATTTTTTTATAAGGATTCTAAAATAAATAAATTTTAAGCTATTGGTTGCCTACCTCTGATAAATAACAAAATACAATTAAAATTAGGTTACTTGTTATAATCATTTTATTTAGTTACTTTTATAACATATTAATTGTCATATAGAACCACTTAATTGTCAAAACATTATAACACAGTTTAATTCCAAAAACTACTAAATTTTTAACAGTTTATCAATTGTACTACTTACCATCCAACATTTCTAGCTCTTGCATTCATAAAAAAAGTCCAAAAAGTATAGGCTCCAGTTTTTTCAGGATTTAATGTTCTAAATGTATCAATGAATCCTTCTTCAAGAAGCAATGACATATTATCCCTCTCTTCTTTAGTAAAACCTGCTTTTTTTGTATTCGATTTTGGGTTTGCAAGATCTAAAAATATATTTAAAAATGTACTTGGGCACTTAGATACCAATAAAAAATAAATATTAAAACAAAAATTATAAAAATTAATACCAATTTCTTTATGAGCGACATTTAAATCACCAGTCAATACAACTGGTTTTTTGGTATCCAACTCTTTCAAATATTTACGAAATTCCTCGTCCCATTTCATTCTTTTTGGCAATGTTTTTAATCCTGCACCGGCATTTGGAATATCTAAAACATTAAATAGTTAGAAACTACTAAAATGATAAAAAAGTTTAATAATTTTAAGCATTACAAGTAGCAACCAGGAAAAATTGTTCATATTCTGCTTCAATCACACGACCTTCATTATCATCCAATTCTTTTATTTCCTTTCCCATTCTCACATTAACAGGCTTTTTCTTAGAATATAAAGCAACTCCGGAGTAACCAGCCTTGTCACCTACAAACCAAATAATTATATTTTTCAGTTTTATCAAAGGTAATCTTAAAACTTTAGTTAATTGTATATTATCAAGGTATTAACTATTTAAAAGTAATTTTACAATGTTTACGTTAATTTTTTAAAAAGTAAATTCAATATACTTTAATTATATGTGTATAAATATGTATAATCCCCAGCTATCAAATACTTTACAGCACATATTTAATTTCTGACCTGAATTAATATAAATTTTATATCCAGGTAATTTTGCTTCATCCGGCATTTGTTTTTCAGTACATTTGATTTCTTGTAAACAAATAATATCGGGATCCTCTTTTTTAAGATATTCTATAACATCCTTCTAAAATATATAAATACAAATACAAATATACCTAAATTGTTTTTGTATAAATATTAGACAATTAAAAAATCTTGGTTTTAGTTATGTATTATTACCTTAAGCCAAGCTCTAAGACCAGCAACATTCCATGACATAATTTTTAGATTCCAAGTAAGGCCTTTAGCACTTTTTTTCTCACAGTCAAAATTTATTTTGTTTAAATCAACTTGTGCTGATTTGGGCTTTTTAGATTCTGAATCATCTCCATCATTATTTCGAGCTCTTTTTTTTGAGTTATCTGTTGTTGTTGTGATATATTCGGCCATTTTTTTTTGTTTTGTTTTAGAGCTCATTGTATAAAATATAATTTTGAATCTGAAAATACAAGCAATATTTTACTTTTTAATAAAATTGATTACAAACTCAATTGATATTTTTATAAGCAATTGAAAAATCAATCTTTCCTTACCCTTATTATAAGAGATTGAAACTTACAAGTATCATTGATGTGTTTTACATAATATGAAGTTAAATTGCTCTTTATTTTTCACAAACATTATTATGTAGTTAAAAAATTGTTACAAGGCACACATAATATCATACCTTCCACTTTAACCCCTAACTAATAATTACAAACCTGCATCTAATTATTTTTTATTATTTATCTAAATTTAAAATAACAATTTTTGGAACACAACAACTAGAAGTACTGAAGCTGTTTTGTTTCATTGGTAGAAACAATTATTTCTACAAGATCTATCAGTAAAGTAATATAAAATACTTTATACATTGAATTTAAAAAAAAAAAAGATTAGGTATTACCATTATTTATAATCAACAGTGTAACTAAGATATAACTAAACATCAAACTTGTATAATACTTCCTTATTTGGAATTTATCTGTCACCAGATAGACAGCATTTTTAGTTACAGCTGGAGCAAATAATATTATAACGGATATCAACAAATACCAAATATTCATAAGATAAATATTACGCTTTTTTTTATTAAAATAAAATTTACAATCTGTAGCATATGTACAATAAATGATGGAGAATATTTACATGAAAATATATTTATGAGGAGGGAGGCTGTCTAGTGACAGAACCCTTAACCATATTACTCTATAAATAAATTTTAAACACCATAAGGTGATAATAATAATTTAAAATATTGTTTCTAATATTGAATAGCACATTTAAAACTGTTGTACTTCCAAAAAAAAACTTTAATTATTGTTCCAGTATCTCCACTATTATTTATAAATATAAGACATCTACATTGAAATGTTTAGTGAAATTGGATATCTACTTTAGAGAATGGGTTTTATTTTTAGATCCTTATGGGGGTCTTATTATTGACTACAAGATGACTCAAAAGAATAAGTAGGTGCACAGTAGAAATAGATAAAAGCCATTTCTACTAACGCTGAAGTTATTGATGAAAGTATACCTGTCAGAAAGAGTAAATTCTACATTTCAAAAGATCAGTAAATTAAATTACATAAGAAATTGATATATAGCAACAGTCATGACTAAACAAAAGTTTATTAACCATGGCAACGGTAACACTAGGTAATATGTTTGATGATAAGTATCAAATAAAAGAACAATGCAAATATTAAAGTGATACAATTTGTACAGATAATTTAAACCACTATTTTAGAGAAATGTACAACCAGCATCCGTATAGTATACTAAGCCAAATTTCATATTTAATTTTATTGCACAATTTATTAATAACTACAGTTAAATTATCAACCAAAAGTGTGTATAAAGTTAATTATAAATTATCTTAAAGTAGATATTACTCATTTTTAACAAATTGATTCTGAAATAGGATCCCTAATTGGTATTAGGTACCTATATTTTAATTATATGTAATGTTATTGTTGTCAATAATCAATTGTTTTGATTGCACTGTATGATTTATTATGAACACTAGTCTAATTATCATTAAGTTAAGTATATAATATTCATATTGACTGATGATGATTTATTTAATGGAATTAATATAATTAATTGTTCATAATCATACTTATATGCAGTTTAAAAGCATAGATAAATAAATACAAATAATGTGTAGACCTACTCAAATATCAAAACCTATCAGTGACAAGTATCAGATGCTGTCTGTTGATAACTTGTACTGTAAAAATGTAGACCAATTAAAAAAAAGCCTACCTAAATGCATATGATGATGTCAGCATACTTTTTAAATTCTCTTTTAAGCTGACTGGCTCACACATATATAGACAAAACACATTTAAAATTACAACACAGAGTTCATGCAAATTCACTTTTTTGGGGGTTTTTGAGATAAATCAACCATTACACAAATTATAGAGAATAATATTTTTGAAGTTTTGGTCAGTATTTTCTCAACGCTAAAATGTATTTTATTAAAATGTAGTACTCATTTAAATGTATAAAATGTTTTTTTAAATTTTAAAGTAGAATATAAAGTCAAATCATAATAATAAAATATAAAACCCTAAAAAATATTATTTAGTTAATGTAATAGATACTTTGATAAATTTATCCTAAAATTACTTAGAAATCATAAATAATGTTTTTACCCAAATGCATTTTGTGTATGTTACGAGTGGGACGAAGACAGAAAATTAATATAGCATTGATAATTTAACATCTACTTATGTTTACTTCCAAAAACTTGTTATAGGTACATAATATTATGATTGTGTGGATCCAAAGTATAAAACCTTGAAATTTTCATTTCTAACAGAATATATATTTATACACAATAAATATATGATTTATAGCGTGTTACATATTGTTGCTATTTTATAAATAATGCAAATCATGCTTACACAAACGATCTGGAACAAATTATAATTGCAACGAACTACAAAATACGATTAGTTGTGCAGCTTGGAATACCGATATTTACGATTACGCGGAATTGTACTCGAGTCTGGCGCCTTCGGATACTTGAGAGTTGTTGAAAAATAATTGATTATAATTTACAGTTATTTATAATCAATTTTAAGTATAAAAAAAAAACACTTTATAGTTACCTATTGGCAATTTCTGAATTTGTTTATTTTTAATATTTTTGTGTTCTAAAATTTCCTCGTGAATACTGAATCAGTGAATTCATGATAATGCTATAAATTCAAAATCCGTTGCGGAATCCCAACTCTGGTAGCAGTTGGCAGGTCGATATCCGTTGGCGGGGCAGTTCGGGCCACGGGGTTAGAAATTTAGAATTACCTTATTTTGATAAGTATTCGTCGTTATCACACACAATAAATATTATACAACTCTCCTTAACTTATTTAACTTATTATTATTTATTATTTATTATTTATTTCTCTTCGTCACCAGCTCACTATGTATTCGTTGGTCAAATTCAATTGACTTTGTTTATGGCTTTTTTTAATTTGTAAATAGTTGATAAGGCATACATATTTCATAAATACTTTATAGGTAAATGTTAATTAAAAATTGTAATCTTTGGTAATTAAATTTCAATTTTTTTTATTATTCTTTCCTTGGTATAGTTTCCATTTTATAGTACCCACTGACGTCTTGGCAATATATGTTTATGGCCTACTAGCCTCTCCCTACAATAGGTTTACTGTATTCCAATGTTGTAGATTCTATTAGAAAAGATTGTTCACATTTTGAAGTCAATAATGAATAGGATAGTTAACTGATGGCTGATCGAGCAAGTGTCGATTCTGGTGAATCTGTTAGCACTAGTGAGGATTACGAAATCATTCCATCAAACACTTTAAATGTAAAATTATTATCTCATCTATTGCAAATTGATTCAATAGTACAAGTACCCAAATGTTTTTTTTTAGAAATGTGACGGTAAACCTGAATTGAACATTGGTGGTGACGGTAATTTGGAACACATGCAGAAATGTCTTGGTGAGTTATTGGATGAAGAGAATGAACGTCAATCTATAAAGACAACCATGGCTGACAAAGATATTAAAAGTGATTCACCATTGACAAAAATATCAGAGCCTATATCTGATGATCAAGGTAAATTCATTTGAAATTATGTAAAGCATCTATATTTTATATTGCATAAAAGATTTTTGAATCTATATTTAAAAATATAATGCATTTTATTTGAAAATAACATTTTGATCACGGCTTATAAATATTAAGGCATTATGCCTGTATTATGTAAATAATAATTTAGGTCAAATTGAAAAAGGTACAATGTTTGATGGAATTTCGTACCTGGGCTCAGCTAGTATTACATATCCTAAAGAAAAAACCGAAATATTAAGGATCATGGCTATATTAAATGGAGAACATGTTGCTGATCAAGATATGAAAATATCTGTGTCCATCCCAAATTCATCAGATGGAGCTGTTATGTATGTAGTTTAAATTTAAATATACTAGTAATTTGAAAAAAGGACAAATTTACTTATAAATTATATACCTACTTTGTATTTATTTAAAGTAATAAAAATAATTTGTTGTATAGTTTATTTGACGGAACAAGCAATACAATTATTGCCCGTTATGAGATTGAAAGAATAATGTTTTATGCTAATGGCGTTAATGGAACAAAAGAAGCATCATGTTTTGCATTCAGCTGGGCACATGGTGACACTAAAGAAAATGCACTATTTCAATGTCACGTTTTTCGTTGCTCAATTCCAGAAGCTGTAAGTCTATGTACCTACACTTATTTTTAACTGATTAAGATAATGGTTGATAAATACTCCCACGTTGAACATTATGGAACATAATGATGCGTTTTATGGTTATAATTTTTTTTTTTCATTTTAAAACAACTTGCATTACACAATAACATTCAATTACACATTTGATGTATTTGTATTTTGTATATATATGAAGCTTGGGTGACATACACACAATATTCATTTATCTGGTATAACAGTTGTTCAAACAATTTGTTTTGTTATTATAAAGCTTATATAGTTATATGTGACAGGTGAACCGTGTATCCAACTGTTTTGTGAAGGCCTTTCAAAAAGAATCAAAATTTACTTCAAGTTCTACATCACCAGAGTTAAGTTCCAATATAGCTTTAGATATGCAAAGTAAAAATGGATCAACCGAGATTTTTATTTTTGAAGTGAGTTTGGAGATAAAAGAAGATGATGGAAAGGTAAAACTCTTACATTAATTGGTAAAAAGATAAATATTGTGAGTTATGATCTACTATTTATATACATATGTATTATGTATGTATATAGGGAGGATTTATATCAGTGCCAAGAGATAAAAATTTCCTTAAACTTCGGGCAAATGTGGAAAAACAAGTGTGTTTAACTATAAATCAAGTAGTATCCGGAACTCAGCAAAGGATATTACATTTGGAACGATGTTTTGGAGTTCTTGTATGCCCTGGTCGTAATGTAAAGCAAAGTGATATGCAGCTTTTAGATATGGTAAGTTGTTATGGCTTATGTTCTTATTTAGAATATTATTGTTTATAAATTATAATTGACCAAACATTAGGTATCCATGGGAACCGATCTAACAGACACTGACGGATGTAATACTATTTATTTGATTACTGGTCACTGGGATCCTTCGGACAAAGTGTTTGAACCCTTAAACAGTGAAACTCAATGTTCCTATATTACTGTAGCAGTAGATTTAGTTATGCGAAAGATTAAAGAACCCGTACGATTGTCCATAGAAACTCCTATCAAAGTATACGCTTCTAACGAAAGATTTTGGGTGTTTGGACGAAGACAAGTTACTCATCAGTTTTACTTGAATTTGCAACAAGTATGTAAATTTAAATTTCTTAAGATGGTTTTAAACTACAGTCTTAATTTTTAGATTAATTCAGGAAATTCTGATATTGATTATAAACTTTTAAATATTGATTCTTCTGGAGAAATGGATAAAAGTCGTTTGAACATGACTTTAAATAATTTGGCTAATTTCATTAAAACTCAAAGTATTAACCCAATTGAACTGTCTTCTCCTAAAGATGAAGATTTGTCTGGTAATTTTACAATAGTTTGTTTTACTATTTTATTTAATTAGGTAATACATTTATAAAAACTGAATAGCGTATTAATCATAAATATTATTATTCACTGATTTTTTGTTTAATATATTTTATTTTAACTATTTATTTATAATGAATGAAAACATATTTTAATTTAGTGCATTAATATATGTATATTTTTATATCCATTTAAAAGATAATGATGAACCTTTGGTAAGTGGTACTGGAGATGTTTCTAAAGAATGTAATGAAGTGGAATTAGAATCTTGGAAAGATGTTTTATTAAAATGGGCAACATGTAAATCTCCTCCTGCACGACAATTAGCTATACTTGTTAAAGAAGGCATACCAGAAGCTTTACGTGGAGAAGTATGGTTGCGTTTAGCCAAAGCTGATTTAGATCCAAAACTTATGGATACATACAGAATACTAATTACTAAGGTAATAATATAGTAACAGTTTTAACTCATGTTGTTATAAACCTATTAAACTGTATTGTTATTGTTGACACTAAATAATATAGGACTGTGAATGTGGAGGAACCATTCAACGTGATATTCATAGAACATTTCCAGCTCACAATTTCTTTAAGGAAGCTGGAGGTATTGGTCAAGATAATTTATTCCATCTAACCAAAGCATATGCTGTATATGACACTGAGGTGGGATATTGTCAAGGTCTAACATTCTTAGCAGCTACTTTACTGTTACATGTAAGAGATTTTCATTTGTTTTTAATTTAGTTTATAAACGTTAATTATTTTATATTTGTTAATATTATAATTATTAATTTAACTTAGATGCCTGAAGAACAAGCTTTCTGTGTCCTATTAAAATTAATGTATGATTACGGCCTACGAGAATTTTACAAAGATGGTTTTGAAACAGTTTACTTAAAACTTTATCAACTGAATAAGCTCATGGAAGTTAGTTGCTTATTATCTTAGTTTATTTTTCTTCCCATACTAATTTTTTTTTTATTTAGGAACAAATTCCTCATCTATCCAACCATTTCAATGCTAATGGAATTGAAGCACATATGTATGCCTCTCAATGGTTTCTTACACTTTTTACTGCAAGATTCCCATTGTTTTTTGTATTTCGCATAATGGATGTAGTACTTCTCCAAGGACTGGATACATTATTCCAAGTTGCTATTGCCTTATTACAGGTGTGTAATGATCAGTTAAAAACTAAAAATATTGTCACAAATATATTATACTAGTATTAATCATTTTTAGTTTTGCAAAAAAGACTTACTACAATTAGATTTCGAAAATATTCTCAAATATTTTAGAGTGACAATGCCAAAAAAAGTGCGTAATGAAGAAGTTGCCAGACATTTAATAAAAAATGCATGCGCTGTAAAACTGAAAAAAATAAAAAAATATGAACAACAGTTTTTGGCTTTGAAAGGTAAACAATGTTACTAACAATGAAGGAATTGATTAACTGGTTTAAAATCTAATTGGTATTTAGAAGCTCAAGAGAGTGCTGAAAATTTTACTAGTGAATTAGATCAAGTGAAAATGACATTAAAGCAAACTGAAGAAGAAAAAAATCGCCTTGAAGAAGAACTTACTAGGGTAAATATTAGTTGAATAATATTGTTGTACATAAAAGGTTGTAATTATAATGTTGTAATTTAAGGTGAAAAATATATTAAAAAAAGAAATTACAAAAGCTGATACAGAAATTAACAGAGATCAAACGATTATTAAAGAATACAAACAAGTAAGTAGCTATAAAATATATTCCGGTAATATAAAAAAAATGGAATCAGATAGATCTTTTAATAAGACAAATACTATGTTTTTTTTATGCTTATAATATTATTTTTTAAGTATCGTAAAGACTATACTTATATTTAACAAGAAAAATAAATGCATTGTAATATCACAATATTATTGTAATTCCTGTCATTATAAATCTATAAATTGTTCTGTTGGCCTCTGATTATATTTTGTTATTTTTTTTTGTATATGATTGATGGTAATTTTTTTAAAAAAAATTCTAGATATGTCAAAGATTAGATGCCGAACAAGCTTCCATGAGGGCTGTTATACAATTACTTAAAGTAAGTATATGACAACTATTTCTTTATAAATTATTTTTTTATTTAAATACTAATAATATTATGTTATAGAATACATTAGGTGAATGTACTAGGTGCAGATCTTTTATCGAAAAAACACCACTATTAAGTAATGATACGTTATCTCAAAGTAGTGA